TTTTTTTTCTAAATCAACTAATCAAGCTCTGTAATTCTTGTTTTGCAAACTAATCCTATTTGGAGAAAAAAATTATGATCTTTTTAAAATATAAAGTAAAAAAATTTGTATTGCATTTTGAGGTAATCATCGTAATCTACATTTTATTTCAGCAAAACAAATATATATATTGTATTTCTATTTTTTGTCCTTTTTTTTTTGTTGTCAATTATGTCTACAAGAAAATTAGAATCTGGGGATGAAAAAAAAAAAAAAAAAAAAATCTGAATTGGATTAGAAATCAGCAGAGATTGAATTTGAAACATTTTTTGAGTGAATTCCATAGTGTTGGAAGGGGCTTGCCATGAACTACCTCACACTCTGCTTCCACTAGTAGATTCTCAAATAGGATTAGTAAATTGGTCGAAAGAAGAGATAGGGTAGTGAGTGGTGAATTGTTCAGAAATAAATTAGTAATTTTTTTATTAATTACCCAAATAGGATTTTCTATGCCTTGATCAGTCAATTTCTAAAGAAACGTTGTTAGTTAACTAAAATTGAATTAAACAACAATTGATTTTGGTTAATATATTTTGATTTAGCCCACCCCATTAAGAAATCCTGGATGTTTTGTTTCACATAGAAATACAATATGTGTAATGCACGAATGATATATTCAATCTTTCTGCCATATTTTTATTTTCAAATTTTGGTTTTTGATTTTCTTTTGTTATTAGAATGTAGAATATCAATATATTGATTTGTTAATTTTGAAGATTATTCCTAAACTGATGCATTATACTTTGTTATTGGATTAATTTAACATAAGAGCTGAGTACAATATGTGCTTATTACACCTATCCGTAATCACACCTTTTTCTACGGATAGGTGTCCAACATTTTGACTGAAAGCATAGTTGGGTTGGGTTAATATATGATATATATATAGTACTTAGGTGGTGTTTTAATTGTTATAAGTGAGATTGTGAAACATCTTCCTCAGAACTTGAGTGTTTTCTTATTTTTAGGATTAGCATCGAGCTTTAACATTTAGCAAGAATAAGGTTCAAAAAACGTGTCTCCTTAGTCATCAAGGTAACAAACTCTTACTTTTTCTAAAATTTTAATTGGCATTTTTAGCTATTGGTTACGTTTATTTATTCATGTTTTACATACAGATTTTTTGTTTTTGTTTCTACATGCATATATAATATTGTTATGATGTGATGCTCGAACAATTTATTAATAGGGATTAAAGACTTGGAAGTTTAGTTTTCAATTTCAGAATATACGTTTTACAAGTCTATTAATGCTTTTAAAACTTTTCCTGTGTCCTAATAATGTAGGTCTTTTTTCTTAAAAAAGATAGTTGATTAGAATGGATGGAGTAGGGAAAAAGAAAATAGGTCTCTTTTGGAACATGAGCATCTTCCGTCATGGACTCCAGTAGCTCGAAAATTTTGGAAAGTATTTGTGAACTCAAGAGGTGTGAGAGATTTCGTGTAAAACGCCATTAGAGAGATCGAGAAACTTTGAATATATCGAATTGTGCAGGATACATGCAGCGCAACTTAGAGTAAATTACTACACTAAAACTAAATAATCAATATATATAGTCCACTTTGAATATATATCCATATAAATTTGTTCTATTTTATTATATATATATATATATATATATATATATTTTTACATACCTTTTGAAGTTGACCAACCACTTATTTTATACAAGCATCCATGATGGTAGTGTGTATGAATCTCCATTCCAAATTATAAGAGTCGTGGAAGTGTGGAATAGGGTGATAGTTGTTATCTCTACCTCTTTAATTTATTCACGTTCAAACTTTTAAACCAGACGAACATTTGGTATCATGTTTTATATATATATATATATAATTATTAAGTTGACAAATTCCAAATTCCAATATAAAATGAAAGATTATAAAATAGTACCAACACCATAGAAAATGAATTGTTTGTATGAACCCAAATAAAAAGTTCTCAAAGGAAAAGGACAAAATGGTATTAAAAATAAGCAAGAGTTTTTGGTGTGTAATACCATTTTGTATCGTATGAAAAGAAGAAGGACAAAATGGTATTACGTCCCACACAAAGTGTATGAGATTTGTCTCCAAAGCACACAATCTCTGTCCTTCTTAACCTTTTGGCAGGGGTTTAAACTTGATACTTCGATCTAAGAGCCGCGCCGCAGGAGTGAAGTATTTTATTATTATTGTTATAGTAATTAAGAATCAAAAATTAATAATTATAATAATATTTAAAGACAACACGTGCGGATTAATGCAAATTTAGGGTAATGAATTGTGCCAAGCAAGCAAGTTGTCCACTACCACTACTAGCATGTAGCTTGCACTCCTATGTCCAGGGTTCACTTTTATTCGTCATTGGGACTTCAGTCACTTCACTAACGTTTTGATTGTTGCATGAACACGAACAGTGCCCCGTGGTTGTCCTCTTAGTAGGAGTTCTCCTTATCACAGGAGTCCCTCTATACTTTCCAATCTTTTTTTTTTATCTGTTTTTTTCTGGTATTTAAAATAATTGCATAATTTAAGTAGGATTTACCTAGCCAAAAACCCTTTTTTTTTTTTTTTTGAAAAGTTACCTAGCCAAAAACTTGACACAATGGAAGTGAATACAAACTACAAGCACGTAACTCATGATACCCATCATGATATTATTGCATGCACACTTGTTACTGTTCCAATTTATACTTCTTTAAATATACGTTCTTTTGCTTTATTAGTGGGTTGGTAATAATTACTACTAAATACTTTGGAATTAAGTACTGCTAAAATTGGACCTATTTTTTGTGTCTCGCTTTTCTTTTTTTGTTATTTCCATGAGATTGTGGGCCAATTACCTTCTGGATTGGGACCTGGCGACTCAAATCCCTACTACCAGACCATCCACTGGCCCAACTTGATTTATTGACTAGTTGGGCCAGACAAGAAGTTTGTTTATGCAATCTAGTATAGTAGCCTAGGCCTGGTCAAATCTCCCACAGTATCATGCTTGTGGACGTATTTTTATTTTATTGGTCAACACCCGAGCACTTTTGACGTTAAAGGCATTTTTTTTTTTTTTTTTTTTTTTTTCTCTCTAGGTGTTTTAGTTACTTGAGTTCAATGAAACACTTCTATTAAAGGAAAATTTAAAATTTAATTGAATTTCTAGGGTAGTTTCTAAATATGTTATAAAAAAAAAAAAAAAAAATTTGGGTGAAAAATTCATTGACCATAACTAATTATTAGTATATAATGAGACATGAGTTCTTAGTTTATGAAAATATTAATTTTAACTTCTAATTTTTAATCAACGGGTCAGTGGTTTAGCGATATCAGTCTCTTACCTTTCAAAGGAATGTCAGGGGTTCAAATCTTGAAAAAGATATGTGTGTGTGTGAGTACCAACTAGAAAAAAATAAATAAATAATAACTTTCTTCTTCTTTTTTTAACGAATGATTAAATATCACTCAATAGTCATCAATTGTGCTAAAAAATATAATGTCAAACTCTCTTCTTCTTCTTTTTTTATAATTATAATAAGAGTAATTAATCTATCTAATTTTCATTCAAACAAAAAAAAACTCTTAAATGACATTTTTAAACTAATCATTATATTTTTCAAACTTTGAACACTTTTTTACCAAACATGTTTTAATATTTTTATTTTTCAAAAAACTTTGCAACAAATGAATATTACCAAACATGTTTTTCATATTTTAAAATAATTACATAATTTAAATAGAATTTACATAGGTAAAAACTTAACACAATGGAAGTGAATACAAACTACAAATATGTAACTCATGATACTCATCCTGAAATTATTGCATGCACACTTGTTACTGTTCCATTTTATACTTCTTTAAATATATGTTCTTTTGCTTTATTAGTGGGTGGGTAATAATTAGTACTAAATACTTTGGGATTAAGTACTGCTAAAATTGGATCTATTTTTTTCTCTTTTCTTTTCCTTTTTGTTATTTCCATGAGATCAGCCTTGTGGGCCAATTGTCTTCTGGAATGGGACCTGGCGACTCAAATCCCTACAACCAGATCATCCACTGGGCCAACTGGATTAATTGACATTTTGGGACCAAATTAGTTGGGCCAGACAAAAAAGTTTGTTTATACAATCCAGATAGGTTTTGTACATACACTTGGTGTGAAGGAATCACCACGCCAATTTTGCATAGCTTTTTAATAATACAAAGGAAGCATATTTTTGTTAGAGAGAGTAATTGGTGAATTCTAATCCCCGAAGATTGACTAGGAGAGTCATGTCACCCAAATAATGGAACACGAATTTTGTATGTTTTGATGCATGAATATAGATTTTGTAGATGCACTCAGTGTGAAGGAATCATCACACAATTTTTGCATTGGTTTCCAATTGCATAGATTTTGTACGTAACAGTGTATATTTTACTCATAACAGTATTTTAATAGACGATAAAAGTAAATTACGTTAAAGGTGCTTTAGTTATTATTATTATTTTCTTTTTCCCAAGGTATTTTAGTTAATTAGTTCAATGAAACATTTCTATAAAAGGAAAATTTAAATTTAACTAAATTTCTAGGGTAGTTTATAAATATGATATAAAAAAAAAAATTGGGTGAAAAAGTCAAAGCATCACTAATCATTAATAAATAAAAAAGAAAAAAAAAAACTAATTATTAATATATATGATAAATATAAAATGTTTCTTTATTCAGAAAGAAGCGGGTGAAAGACTAAAAAAAAACACTGGTAATTCAATTACCGTTTCCAGCGATATTTAAAGAGCGCCAGTTTTAATTTTTATTTTATTTTCCCATTATATATACCCGTTTATTTGTTTGCTTCTTTATATTTGTTTATTTGCCTCATGAACATTTGTTTGCTGCCAGTTTGATAGAGTTAATTGGTTCAATTATGTAGCTTTATTTAATTACACCGCTTGAATCAGTTTCCATCTTCAGGGGAAATACGGAAAAAATCTAAAAGCCCAAAATGAATATCAATGTGATCCTTAGGAACTAGTCTCGAATAGAACGTTAAATTTGCCAAAGTGAACGTTAACATCAATGTGAACGTTATATATATACATGGAATCAGAAATGCATCGAATAGTTTAAAGAAAACTACTTTGGAATTGAAGAATATGCAAGTGGCATCAGATTGAATGCGAAAAGGTCCGATCTCTTCAGCACCTCCATACGCTAGCCCTCCATTGAGCCACAACACAAGTCTTTGCAAATAATAGAAAACAATAAACACAATAGCAGAAACCAGGCAGCAGGCTTTGGTATTGTGTCAAACGAGTAGCAAATGCCCTATCATGGATGGTCCAAATAATAGGTACACACTTGAAAGGCTCCTGCATGAGGCTGTCACAAATAAAGTCTTTCGTGTTAACTTAATAAGGACATTGTCAGCAGAATCAACTCTAACCTATTATAGCTAATATTAGGAACAAACAGATAAAAAAAAAGCAAAGTAATCATGTCAGAAAACTTGTATTATCACATATGAATGAGCTTCTACATAAGCATATGCAAGAATATACTTGCTACCGCCAAAAAAAGATTTTGCATTTTGATCGACCCCAAAAATGCTAATGCATCAGCTTCTGCATGAAATACTTTTGGGGTTGGATTGACCATTAAATTGCACAACTATTAAATTAGTGTCTTCAGCATAAGGAATAATCTGGTTATAAAATAAAATAATATGGCTTACCAAGGAAAAATGCCACTGGCTTCCAAAGAGTTTACGAGTATACCATCATAGCTGCAAAAGGCATATACCATGATCAGAAAGACCTAAAATTATTTGGTTTAATAAGCCAAATCAGTCTCATCCAATCTGTTAAAAAAACAAATGTATGACATGCAAACTACCAATAATGATATCGTATCAACTATACACTAGCACTGATGAGATATTCACCAACGGGCCAGTGGCCTAGCTGTATGAGCCTCTTACTTCCCAAAGGGAGGTCAGAGGTTCAAGTCTCAGTAGAGACGTGTGTGTGAGTACCAACTATGAAATCAAAAAATAAATAAATAAAAACTGACGAGATATTCAAAAGTGTTTAAATTATTCTTTATGCAAAGTTACATGAGACTAGTTGATTGTTCCCCCACAACACACACAAAAAATAATGAGATAACTGGAAAATAAAATGACGCAAGGACCAAGGACACCTATATAGCAGCAAAAGAACTGAACAGACTGTTGTCAATGCTAAAAGGAAAGGAAGATCCCAAGTTAGTTACCATTTCTAACAGTTTAGTGATTAATTGAAGTGTGGAAGTTCCCATATATGAGAATCATACTTCAGCCAATCTACAATGATCTCCACTTCCCACCAGTTTCCATGATTTTGACTGGAACTCCAATGTTTCTCCAAACAGCATGCACAGGACCATCTTCAAGTGAGTAAACCTGCAGACGTAAAAACAAATGATACTTAAGATGACTATATTTACCTCATTGAATGTTACCTGAAGAAAATTGCACCTAATAACTTAAACTTTTAACAAAAGAGAGCTTAGATATAATTTTTCTTACCGTGAGGAATGGGCCAACAATTGGGTTGTGAGTTATCCCAGTTGAGACTTGAGATTATGACTTCTGCAGGAGGATTTTCCCTCCTTTTTGAGAGTGTTTGTCACCCTACCCTGCATTTTCCTCAATTAAAAAAGAAAAAGTTCTCCAAGTATCATATCTAATAACATAAAGGAAAACTGATGTGTTCGCATTACATAACCCCTTTGTCAATATTAAAAGCCCATTTCCCACCGAAATAATTTGTTGTGTGTGTTGTCATGTGACCCAAGTAAGATACCTTAATCTCCAATTTTTAACTTTGTTAATTGCATGAGTACTCTCAAATAGAAAGCATTATTAATGAAGCAGAAGATATTCAAGATTCATGAACAAAGCCACATGTTATGATTAATGAACAAAGCAGAAGATATTCCAGAATAATGAATGAAAACACGGGGTCAACAGAAACAAGCATACACTATGAGAGGACACTGCCAACAATCTTGACTGAAAACTCCAAAATAATTCAATTCTGACTCCCTCAGTCTCAGACATCTAAATTTGAACTTCAAACATATAAATAAGTGATAATTGAGATTACCACAACTTTGTAACCAATCTCCCGCAATGCAACTGCAACACTAACCATCAGTATCTGCAGCGGATCAACCAGTAAATGCGCAAACACCTACACATGAGAATTGAAAAAGAATAACTAAAAACACAAGAAAAACGAGTAAAAACAGTTCCAAAAACAAGAAACTTCACAAGAATTGAAAAAGAACGAATAAAACACAAGAAAAGGAATCAAAACCCAAGAAACAAATAAACACATTCAACATGACAATCCATACGATTAACAGCTGAAAATAAAACACATTCATAAGAAACGCATTGCAAAAGAAAACAAGATTGACAGGAAATAGGAATACATACCAATGCTTAGAAATCCCAATTTCAATAAACAATAGCAGAAACCAAGGGCTCCAAATGCATCTTCCTCGCTGAAAAACACAATAGGCACAAACAATAATAAATATCAAAAAAATTAAAACAACATACATACAAGTGAGCAGTTGCAGAAAGAGAGAGGGGGGCAAGCTTGAGAGTTGAGAGACAGCGGCTGAAGCTTGCGAACGGCGAACCCGAACTGGAACAGCGGGCGATGGAAACTGAAAGATATGGGTTTTGATTTTTTGAACAATCTGGCATATCAGATATGGGTTTTGATTAGGTAATAGGTTTTGAACTTTTGATTCTTGCAGACAGATAGATAAACTGAAATATATGGGTTTTGAACTTCTGATTCTTGCAGATTTTCTAATTAGCAGTAGCAGAGAGAGAGGGGGGACAAGTTCAGAGTTGAGAAAAGAGAATAGAGATGGAGGCAATTGGGGAGTTGCAGAGATAGAGAGGGGGCAAGTTCAGAGTTGAGAACGAGAATAGAGATGGAGGCGATTGGGGAGTTGCAGAGAGGGGGGGGAAGTTCAGAGTTGAGAACGAGAATAGAGATGGAGGCGCGCAATTGGGAGTTGCAGAGAGAGAGAGATAGAGAGGGGGGGGGTTGGGGTTGGGGGAGTTCAGAGTTGAGACCGGGAATAGAGATCGGGGGCGATTGGGGAGGCTGAAGAGAAACCTAGGGCTCGGATGCGATTGGTAAAATTAGAAATAAATGGTAAATTAAGGAAATAATATTAAAGCGCCCACTTACCAGCGTTTTTTTTCAGTAAACGCCGGTTAAAACAACGCCGATTAAAGTATATAATTACCCTTATAGGAACGCTGGTAATTACTACCAGCGGTCATTTAAAAATCACTGGTGAAACCCTAATTTCTTGTTTTCAATGGAATTATCAATTAATGTTAAAGTTGTTTTGGACTTGTAAATTTTTGCTAAAAGAATGTATCCCTCCTCATTCAATTTTCTGGCCTGGAAGGACAAGACCTATCATTATATTTGTGTGTGTATATAGTATATGATGAGACATGAGTTCTTAGTCTATGAAAATATTAATTTTAACTTTTAATTAATTTATCCCAATTGCACGGAGCTTTGATATCATGTTTTAATTGTTTTTACTTAAATTTCAGAATTGTGAAGCTCAATGGATATCGTGGAAACAGAATGCCATTCATTGGATTAAATATCCATTTTTTTTTTTTTTAATGAATGATTAAATATCACTCAACAGTCATCAATTGTGCTAAAAAAATATAATGTCAAACTTTTTTTATACTTATAATAAGAGTAGTTAATCTGTCTAATTTTCATTCAAGGAAAAAAAAAATTCTTAAATGACATTTTTAAACTAATTATTTTATTTTTCAAATCTGGAACACTTTTTCATGTTTTTGTTCTTTTAATGCAAATGAAATGAAAATACATAATTTTGTACAGTAAATGACGCAAAATGACTCTAACAATTGATCTTTATTTGAAATTACGAAACTCTTTTTGACCAGATGTCTAGTGGCATTGACCGATTTTGACTTGGTTTAAAGTGAGAGGCAAGAAAAGGAGGAACAGTAGGCACTAAAGAAGGGCTTCCTACAAATTGTCTCAACTTAAAGCTTGTGGGGGTGTTGATGTGAAGAAAAGGAAATAAAGTATTTCATCTTGCCACCAATTTCTCAATGTAATTCTTGAAACTCTTCTCCACTCATTTTTGCGCAGGTCAATGTGATCTTAAAGAAAATAAGCACTAGGTATGAGATGATTCTCCTTATGTTTCAAAAAGTGCTGGCACCGAACATCTTAATCTTGTCGTTGATCTCGCAAAGTTTGTGAGAGTGTGTGTTTATGATTTGTTTGTGGGTTTTGGTTTTAGAGGGAGGTTCAACCCAGCTTAAGATTTTCCTTGATGAGTCACTCGTTGAATCAGTATTGTTTGGTTCTTGATCATTTCACAAAGCTTATGGCGCTCATGGTTGAGTATTATAGGGATACTTAAAGAATTAGAGGAAAGTGGTTTTAATAACCCGAATATAACCAAAATGATCACTTTGTTTTGAAAAGTGTTTTTATACCAAAAGTAGTTGAAAATAACCATTTTCGTAAAAAAAATGACTTTTGATGTCGGAAAGGTGAAAAATGACTTAAAAGTGGGATCAAAAGTGACAAAAAAGACCATTTTGACTTGAAAATGATTTTCGGTGTCAAAAAGGGAAAAAATGTTCACTTACTTAAAAAGTGGGTTTTTGAAAAAGTCGCAAATGACCAAAATAACCATTTTAGCTAAAACGGTTCCAAAAGTGTCGAAAACCAACAAAAATGATCTCTTTTAAATGAAATGTCTATTTATAATTTAAATGAAATGTCTATTTATAAGTTAAAGTCAATTTTAATGTCAAAAATGGTTGGGATTGACTAGGATGGTTGTTGTGATACCCCTAAATTTCCAAGCACGAGTTGATCAAGTCACAAACATGGAGTACAAAATGATATAATAATAAAGAAAAATAAGGTAGAAATGATATCTAAGAAATACTGAAAATCCATCCATCTATTAGTAATTAAAGTTCAATAGTACAACTTGGGAATCACATATGAAGGACCCATAAATCCAAAACCAACTCTATAATTGGAAATAGATAAGTTAGAAGTCATAAACAATAAATAAAAACTTCTACCCTGAAGTAAACAGTATAATAGATGATGGATTAATTCACCGAACAACTGAGTCCTCAACCATGTGTTTGAAACTGAGGAGGACCTGAAATATAACAACAGAAGGTGAGTCAAACCCGCAAGCAAATCCTCTCTACTACAACCCATCAGAAAACCGATAATCAAAACAATCTATATCTAATATCCGTAAAAACCATCAAAACTAATATAATAAACATCCAGGTAAACAATATATATATATATATATATAGGCAACTCATCCATGCCTTGAAAATAATATAAATATAATATATATATATATATATATGCAACTCATCCATGCCTTGAAATAGTAATCCTCCAAATAAAATATAAATAGGAAAATAAATCATGCCATAAAATCGACCACATACTTAGACAACTCAACCATGTCTCGGCAACTCAATCATACCTTGGTAATAGTGAGATTGCATTTATTAGTCAGTCTACAGTGGTTTCCTTAATTCAATATAAATATATAATATGGTAATTATCATTTACCCATTTATCACAATATAATCACAATGTGCTTAATAACATTAAATTATCCATAATATATTTACACTTACTCATACAAATGTTTCTCATACCTTAGACACGAGTTAAAATATGTAATATGGTAATTATCATTTACCTATTTATCACAATATAATCAGAATATGTTTAATAACATTAAATTATCCGTAAAATATTTACACTTACTCATACAAACGTTTCTCATACCTTAGACGCAATTTAAAATTGTAGTCGTGTCTAAAATATCATTTAAAATAATGTAATAACATTTTACAGCTCTCAAAACACCATAAATACATCTTCCTCAGCTCTCATAGACGGATCTGGAAGTGCAAGCCTGTAAACATCCTCATCCGGAACCCCTTGCTGCTGTCCTCTCATCTGATTCATCTGTAGCTTGAGATCTCTAATCTCAACCATCATCCTGTCAACCATAGAAATCTGATGCTGCAAAAAATGAGAATACATGATGTTTGCTTATGCTCTTGTGAAGTTCCCTTTAGGAGGAAATAGCTGAGTAACTTCTGGAGCTTGTGACGAACCCCATCGACACCTCGCCTAGCCTTTCTTGCATTCTCCCTAGCAGATTATGACTTTTTCAAGGAACGAGGATCCAACTCAGTCATCATAGGTTGATGATATGCTCTTGGAGGAATATGAACATTCTTTTTCTTAAAGATTTTCATGATAATCACCGAAAAATTAGCTGAATACTTGCGCGAGTTCTTCTTATAATAAGTTATCATTAGCTGCACAATAAATGGTGCAAGCTAAATAGTCTCATTAACAGTAAGAAAATAGAGAACTCATGCTCTGTGATACCCTTCGAATCCGAGACACGGGTTGATCAGGCTCAGGCCCAAACCCGAGGGAATATCAAACAATTAATATTTTATAATGAACACGGAATACAAAATAAATTAAGAAATGAAATTAAAACTGGAAGGAACTAAAAAAAGAATCCGCAAAATATTATAATCATTAAAATCCATCAAACCCAAACTCCAAAACTCCATCAGTTTACAACTTGGGAATCCATCTCTAGTGGACCCCTATTAAACATCCAAACGGAAGATAGAACAACTGTAATAAACGTCCAGAAATAAAACTATAGAGAGAGCCCTACATCGTCGGAAGAGTGAATAGAGACCTCTGCTCAGCACGAACACGTCTAAGCCTGGAACTGTCGTGTACCTGAAAAATAGAAGTGGGTCAGGCCCACGCGCAAGTTCTATACTACTACAATCCAAACAGAAGCCCGATACGCATGTACATCCTAAACAATTCAACAATAGCTGATAGTCCGTAAATATATATATAGTCACACTAAAGGACTCTCACTGGATTACAGGCCGGTCTCAACCTGAATAGAGGTAACATGCTAAAAAGCACACGAAGTGGGCATATGTACCTATACCTAAACAGGGTACACCTCCAACCATCATAGCCAGCTACACATCCCGATGCATATACGCTCCCTAGCCATCGGTCCTGAGGCTCAAGCTCATACCGAGGCACCATAACAGTACATATATAAAATCCATCCAAAATCCCTAGTATTGCCGCTCAACAAGTAGTTGTCATGACAATACAAATCCACGGGACTTAACTTTTAGTTAATCCCATCCTTATTCCAAGTAGGTGGGTAATGGTATTATTTTAAAAATCAAACCCATCCTTAGTATACCACCGTCCCATACCGGTGCCTACTTTCCAATCCTCCAGTAGTCAAAAATACCAATAAATCAAGTATATATCAACTAAATTCCAACATCCAACATTCAATGTTAGCAGTGATAAAATAAGCATTGATAAACAGGGTCACAACAACAACATATACTTGCCCAGTTTAAGTTGTTCCCTTTAGTCTGATATAAAGACAGAATTAATTAAAACTTCCATTTAACACCTTACAAATGACATACAGATATGTAGGGTATGTATCACAAAATCCTAACCTCCACAGTTGATATTAACTGTGATAATGTAAGCATCAAAACAATATTCACAGTATGTATGTAAACATGCTCAAATTATAGTGTTCCACAAAACCGATCTAGTATTAAACTCAAATCCTCCTAGTATTTAAGTTCCAACAGTTGCTATTACAGAAGTTAAGATAGCTATCATCTAGACCCATCCTTCCAATAATTTATACTAGCAGTGGTAAGAAAAACGTGAACCACAGAACCACAATGCATCCACAAACATGCTTAGTCTAGGTTGAACAAGCATACAACACTACTGTAACTACCAGTTTCATAGCAAAACAGATATCATTTTCGTTTGGTTTAATCTTCATTAATCCTGGAATCATTTAAGAGTGCAAAGAGTATGAAGCCTAAAGGAAAGAGTAAGGATAGAATCTTGCCTCAGAAACTTTTGTTCAAAGTTTCAACGTCGTCTTCTTAAAAAATCCCGGCGAGTTTCAAAACCCGGTTACTGTTCACGGGTACGAAACACTATTCCGAAGTCAAAATCT